GCTCTACCACTGAGCCACACCCCAGCCCCTCACTGGGGGATTATAGGCAGGTGCTCTACCACTGAGCCACACCCCAGCCCCTCACTGGGGGATTCTAGGCAGGTGCTCCACCACTGAGTCACACCCCCAGCCCTTCTCTGGGGGATTCTAAGCAAGAACTCTACCACTGAGCCATACCAAGCCCCTCACTGGGGGATTCTAGGCAGCAGCTCTGTCACTGAGCCACACACACTAGCTGTAAGGCTGCTGCTCCTCTGGCTCCACAATGCTCCCACCTTGTCCCGCAGCTCCTCGGCCTGGCGGACCTCCTCCTGTAAGTTGTAGATTTTGTTGACCAGCTCTTGCCGGTCCTCCAGCGCCTCCTTCCGATCATGTTCCAGGATATCCAAGATTGCCTTGTCTGAATCTGGGAGGCTGCGCTTGCCAGCCTGAGAGGGATTGGGGAGAGAGGTGAGCATAGAAGGTGGGGGATAAGAGAGCCAGCATGGGTGACCCTAAGATGGCAGAAGGTTTTATGTCAAGAAAGCAGATACAGGAGGGGGTTATTTCTCAGGGTGTTTAAGCAGCTTATTAGCATTCAGGAAGTTTACTACCAGGAAAGATGCATGAAACCCATTTCTGCTGAGGAATATCCTGAGCCTGCTGTCGTCCTAGCCCTTTTCTGAGCCTAGAGGAGCATCTGCGGCTCCTCCAAGACACTTTGGAGGTGACAACAAAGCGAGGGTGTGTCTGCTTTCCAGATGCCCCTCTGAAATATTAACTAATCAGCTCCCACCAACCTGGGGTCCAGCCTCTGCCTTTAGAGCCCTAAACCCCAGGCAGACAACCCTGGGGGATTATTCTGAAAGGAGGAAGGAGGGCAATGCATTTCCTTTCCTGCGATTATGTCTGAGGGTGTTAGTGTTCAGTGATGTCACCCTCTGTACCCACATGTTTCTGGAGGTGACAAAGGGAGGCGCTTGAGGCTCCAGCACCTGGACTTGTGGCTACTTGAGCTTCTGGGGGCTCTCTAAGGCTTCTGGGAGGGGACATTCTTTCTCTTCTTGCAGAGCCTGGACATTAATTTCCATGTGGATGGTGATTCTCATTTGTCAATGAGGTTTTTATAAGTATTATTACCCATAATGAAGATGGACGATGGGGCTCAGTGGTAGAGACCTTGCCTGGAATGCACAAGGCACTGATAAGGGTGCTAGGGATAGAACCCAGGGCCTTATGATTTCTAGGCAGGTGCTCTACCACTGAGCCATGCCCCCAGCCCCTCACTGGAGGAGTCTAGGTAGGAGCTCTATCATTGAGCTACATCCCCAGTCCCTCACTGGGAGAGTCTAGGCAGGTGCTGTATCACTGAGCCATGCCCCCAGCCCCTCACTGGGGGATTCTAGACAGGTGCTCTACCACTGCATTACGCCCCCAGCCCCTCACTGGGAGATTCTAGGCAGGAGCTCTACCACTGAGTCATGCCCCCAGCCCCTCACTGGGGACTTCTAGACAGGGGTTCTACCATTGAGCTACATCCCCAGTCCCTCCCTGGGAGAGTCTAGACAGGTGCCGTATCACTGAGCCACACCCTAGCCTTCTTTAAACTTTTTAGTTTGAGGCAATGTCTCACTAAGTTTTCCAATCTGGTCTTGAATTTACTGTTACCTTAGGCAGGCCTTGAACTTGTGATTCTCCTGACTCAGTCTCCCAAGTAGGTGGGATGACAGGCCTAAGCCACAAGGCCTAGCTGAAAAAGTCTATTTTTTGTTTTTAGTCTCTCATTATGTCCTGCCTCTGGCAAGAAAGTATTGCAGTCACCACTACTTCACAGAGGGGAGAAATGTGGTGCTTAAGGCTGAGGTGCACTGTCTGTGGCCCTGCAGCCAGTAAACATGGATTTGGTACACCTCCCCCAGAAAGGGTATCCACCCTTCTCTGCCCTTACCTGTGTGGAGGATGGTGCTTCTCACCTGGATGATGGACTGTAGCTCCTGGATCTTGGTCTTCAGCATCTCATTCTCCCTCTCCAGTTCCAGGACCTGCTCCTTCTTGGGCCGGTTCTCAATGTCATTCTTGAGTTTGAGTGACTGATTTCTTTCCAGTTTACATTCCTCCTCCATCTTATTCAATCGGTGCTTGAGTTGATCGATCTGAAACACCACATTAGCTGAGGAGTGAATGTGGTTGGCAAGAAACTTTGGTGACTCAGTTGGTAAAGGTATTTTTGTGGAAACATGAGGACCTGAGTCCAGATACCTAGAACTCAAGTAAAAAGCTGCATGTGGTGGCGCACACCTGTAATCTCAATGCTAGGGGGTGGGCAGAGACAGGCAGATCCCTGGGGCTTGCTGACCAGACAGCTGAGCCTACTAGACAAGTTCCAGGCCAGTGAGAGACCTTGTCTCAAAAAATAAGGTAAATGATGACTGAGGAAAAACATCTCAAGTTGTCCTGTGGCCTCTACACTCACAATGCATGTACCCTCCCCCATACATATATCTATATATAATGTATAGATATATCTGTCTTCTCTCCATCCATCCATCATACATCCATCCCTCATCCATCTACCCATCCATCCATCATCCATTCATCTATCCATTTACCTATCCACCCTTTATCTATCATCTACTCACCCATGTATCCATTATACATCCATTATCCATCATCCATCCATCCATCCATCCATCATCCATTCATCCATCCATCCATCATCCATTCAGCCATCCATCATCCATCCATCCATTCATGCATCTACCCATCCATCATTCATCCATCATCATACATCTACTCATCCATCCATTCACCCAACCATCCATCCATCCATCATCCATCCATCCATGCATCCATCCATAATCCATCATCTACCCATCCATGTATCCATCCATTATTCATCGTCCATCCATCATCCATCCATCTATCACCCATTCATCCATCTATGCATCCACCCACCCATTCATTCATTCATTCATTCACTCATTCATTCATCCCCATCAATCTATTTATCCACCCACCCACTCATCATTCATTTATTCATCTACCCATTCATCCATTATCCACCTACCCATCTATCCATCATCGATCCATCCATCATCCATCTTTCTATTCATCCACCTACCCACCCACCCATCTATCCATCATCCATAAGTCCATCATCTATCAACTACCCACCCATCCATCCATTCCATCCCTCCATTGGAACTAATTCAGAAACAAGTTTTAAAAGAGAAACTTCTACATCTCTACTACAGCTTAATTTCTCCAGATCTAAGTAAACAGCCCAGAGATCCCTCCTCTTGGTCTTACAGAACAATTCCTATTTAACACCTTTGAAGATCTACCCAGATAATTTTCTTAGAGTGGGACCAGATCCCCAGTCCTAGACAGGTATGGGGTTTACTCTGCTAAAGACTTATGGTGTTATATTGTAGGTAGATATTATTTAGCTATTATCATTTATAAATGAGAAAAAAAAATGAACAAACAAAAAATCTCTGACTCCACAGCCAAGTAAAGTGGTAAAGTCAGGAGTCAAAATTATAATACTAAGCTATAGAACTTCATAGCTTATCCTTATTTTTCTTCTGAGATGAGGTCTCACCGTGTAACCTAGGCCTCAAACTCACTACGTAGCCTATGCTGTCCTTGAACTTTCAATCCTCCTGCCTCAGTCTCTCTAGTTTTGGAATTATAAGCATGCCCCCGCCCCCCATGCCTGGCTTCATGCTTTTAACTGAAATGCTCTACTGTGAGCTGTGCTGATTCAATTCACTTGAATTCTTATGGCTTGTTTACTGATCTGCCCACCTCACTAAATTGTAAGTGACCCAAGCAGAGCTCAGGTTATTTGTCCCCATATCCCCTACAGTGCTTAGCACAGAGCCTTGTGTGTGGCAGGTGCTTAATAAATATTCTGAGAGTCTGTTTTCCACCCAGCAGCCAGAGCCGGCCTTCTGAGGTATAAATCAGTTGTCAGTCTCTAGCTCACAATCCATCAGTGGCTTCCCATCACTATGAGAATAAATCCCAAATTCTTCCGGTGCCCCTGTGATCCGGACCCCCGCCACTGCTCCCTCCTTGTACAATCTGCTCATTTGGCTCCAGTCTCATTCTTTCTTCAGCCACTTGAGAAGACAGAAAACGCCAAGCAGACCCCTATTTAGGGACTTTACATTTTTGTCCCCAACTTGCATGTCTGAATTTCTTACTGTCTTCTTTCTCTTAAAAATGCTTTTATGGGGCTGGAGAGATGGCTCAGCAGTTAATAACACTGACTGTTCTTGCAGAAGACCCAGGTTCGAATCCCAGCACCCACATGGCAGCTAACAACTGTCTATAGCTCCAGTTCCGGGGGATCTGACAGCCTCTTCTGTCCTTCTCGGGCACTGCACGACACAGATGCACTTACTTAAGTGCAGGCATAATACTCCTACACATAAAATAAAAATAATAAATAAAATATTTAGAAAGTGCTTTTACTAGCATAATTAATCATACATAATGTTTCATTATGACATCTTCATACATGTATATACTGTATTTTTGTCACATTCACCCCATTACCCTCTCTTGTCCCCTTCCCTCTCTCTTTGGTTACCTTCTTATTCCCAACTAGCTCCCTCCCCCTTTTTTGGGTGACCCATTGAGTTTCATTAGGGTTGCTCATAGCACAGGAGAGCAGTTATTTACAGGAGCACAAGCAGCTTACCAGTGTCTGCACCACTGAAAAAATTGCCTCTCCTTCCCCCAGCCACTATTAGCTGCCTACAGATCCTCAGGGACGGGCATGGAATCATGAACCCCTTCGCCATCCATGAGCCCAATCTTGTGCAGCTGCTGTGAGTTCAAGGCATCCTTGGCCATGCACAGAAGATAGTATTCCACAGCAGCTCCTTCCTCCAGAGCTAACATCCTTTCCACTCCATTTTCTATGACATTGTCTGAGTCTTTGAGGGGTGATCCATGGGTATCTTCTTAACCACCCAAGATCAAACAGCACCCCTCACTCTGTCCTCATTCTTCTTCCTCATCCTCTGCTCCACCTCCCTTTCCCTATATTCCTCCTTCCCCCTCTCACATTCCCTTCCCTTCCCTCCCTTCCCCTCCTCCTCCTCTTCCTCCTCCTCCTCCTTTCTTTTTATCTTTTCGTGATGGTTTTCCTCTCTTACTAAGTAGCCTCAGCTGGCATGGAGCTCCCTATGTAGCCCAGACTGGTCCTGAACTTGGGATCCTCCTGCCTTAGCTTCCTGAGTGCTGGATGACAGATGTGCACCTCCATGCCTGGCTCTATCTTCTATTCTTCATGTCTCACAAACTACCGATATGTATTTGCTTCTGAATTATAGCAGGAGTTCTTGGATTGTGTCTTAGTCTTGATTTGTGTATCACGGAGTGCAGCTGGGGATATGGTGAGGCTCTATAAGCAAAAGGACGGACCTGGATATGGCGGCCCAGGCCTGTAATCCCAGCATTTGGGAGGCTGAGGCCAAATAATGGTGAATTCAAGGCCAGCCTTGGCTATTCAGCAAAACCCTCTCTCAGAAAAACAAAAACGGGGCTGGGAGATAACTCAATGGTTAAGAACATTTACTGCTCTTGCGGAGGAGCTAGGTTCAGTTCCCAGTACCCACATGGCAGCTCACACCCATCCATAACTCCATTCCAGGGGATCTGAAGCTCTCTTCTGGCCCCCACAGGCACCAGGCACCCGTGCGGTATATTTGCATACCTGCAGGCAAAACATTCATACACATAAAACAAAAACAATTTAAAAAAAGAAAATCAAAAACAAAAGAACAAAATGAAGCACATTTCCCTCTCTTCTCTTCTTCGGAGGCAAACTCATTAAACACGTCAGTCTCCTGCTTGGCAGGTGTTCCCTGATAAACATACTCATGATCCCATGTGCCAGCACAATGCTGAACTCTGCAGATATACATGTGGTGGGTGGAGGTTTTGCTCCACAGCCATCCCTCAACCAACAGGTGCCATTTTCTCACTCATTTTCCTGACCACCATAATCTGGGCTCTGGGTCTCTCAATTCTCCCTCTCATCTTGCCTGGCTCAGGGTCTGTGTGTGGGTGTCTGCACATGCACAAGTGGATCTAGACTTGCAACTCCTCTGGGTCTTTCTGTGCAAGTCTGCACATGTGCAGAGTGGGTGGCTGAGCCCAGCTGCTAAGCACTCCTGTGTCAATGTACTTTTGTGCACGGTTGTCCTAGAACCCCAGACCCTGTGCCCTCCATCTCCTCTTACCTCGTCTGGGGTACAAAATTCTGGAGGGCCTGTGTGGCATATTTACATGTGTCCCTGTAGGGGTCTTGAACCCCCAGGATATTTCCTTTCCCAGGATGTCCTGGGCATCCCTACCTCGAGCTGGAGGTCCCGACTCCGCATCACCGCCATGTTTTTCTCTTCACTGAGCTGGGCGTAGCGCATGGCTAAGTTGTAGTTGTCATCCTTGACCTTGACCAGCTCGTCATTGTAGCTGTCCCGCTCCTCCTTCATCTTGTAGTACCGATCCTGGAAGGTCAGCAGCTCCACTCGGGTCAGGGTCAACTGCTTCTTCTCATCTTCTAGCTGCCGGGACTTGGCCAGCAGCTCGCAGCGCTGCAGGTCCTTGGCTTTCATCTGCTGCTGCAGTTTGATGACCTCATTCATCAGGAAGTGCGTGAGGCCCTCGTGACCCTCCTCCACTGCAGAGGGGGGACATCTGGTCAGGCCTGAAGCCTGCGGCGGGGAAGAGGCTTGCAGACGTGGGATACTGGGAGCATCATTCACTCACTGTGATGGTTAATATTGTCAATTTAACAGGATTTAGAATCACCTAGGAGATAAGCCTCTGGGTATGCCCATGAGGGATTATCTAGACTGGGTCCATTGGTGAAGGGAGAGCCACTTTAACTATGGGTGGCACCATCCCATGGGATGGGGTCCTGGACTGAATAAAAAGGAGAAAGTGAGCTGAGCACCAGCATCCATCTCTCTGCTTCCTGACTGTGGGTGCCGTGTGATCAGCTGCCTCAAGCTCTCACCACCAGGTCTTCCCACCATGATGGACTGCACCCTCAAACCATAAACCAAGATAAACTCTTCCTCTGTCAATGAGGAAAGTAACTAATACACTCACCAACATTTTCTTTCCTTCCCTCCCTCCCTTCTTTTCTTCCTGCCTGTGGTGGTTTGAATGAGAAAGCTCCAAGTATTTGAACACTTGGATAAGGTCCCCGGGTGGTGCTGTTTGGGGCTGTCATGGAATCACTAGGAGGCATGGCCTTGTTGGAGGAAGAACCTGCTGGAGGAAGTCACTGGGGGCAGGACTTTGGGAGGTCATAACTTTGCCCAACTTTCAGTTTGCTCTCTCTGCTTCCTGCATGTGGTTGAAGATGTGAGCTCTCAGCTTTCTGCTCTGGCTGTCTCCTGCCATGCCTCCCCACCATGATGGACTTTCACCCTCTTGAACTTATTATAAGCCTAATTATCATTATGTAACGAAGGATGGCCTCACATTCACAACAATCTCCTGCCTCACCTTCCAGAGCCTTAGGATCACAAGCTTGCACCACTTCACCCATCTAACTTGGTTTTGTCCTTTCTTCTGACTTCCTCCCTCCCTCCTTCCCTCCCTCCCTCCCTCTCTCCCTCCTTCCCTTCCTTCCTTCCTTCCTTGTCTTGGGATTGAACTATATACCACTGAGCTGCAACTCCAGCACCTTACAATATTTTTGAGATACGATCTCACTAAGTTGCCCAGGCTGGCCTTTAACTTGTGGGTCTTCCAAGCAGCTGGGATTACAAGTCTGGGCCATCAGCCTGGATAATGTTTAACTGAGTTCTTCCCACTAGACCCTGGGGATTCAGGGTGGACCAAATAGCCTTGGTGTGGTAGAACTATGTAGCAAGAAAGATGGGCATTAAACAAAACAAAACAAATGATCACACAGCACTGTAACTAGACTGTGAGGATTCTGTACTGTACAGATAACTGTACAGAGGGGTTAGAGAGGGTCTTGATGGTTGACCTGGAATATTGAGTTTAGGAGGGGGAGGGGGACATTTTTGGAAGGGGGGAGGAGAGGGAGAGGTAGGGGAAGGAGGGAGGGAGGTATAGAGCAGAATGAGTTCCTGGAGGAATTAGAGCATATGGGGTCCTTGTGGGCCACATCAAAGATCTGGGTCTTGGGTCTTCAGCAGGAGAGGGTAACACCAGAAGAATGGAGAACGTGTTGGAACAGACTGGGAATGGACGAAAGATGAAAGGGGCTGAGGGGCTGATGGGATTGTGGGGTCTGAACTAGAGAAAGGGAGAAGACTGATTCAAGAACGTTTAGGAAGAAGATGAAGAATGACTGGCATCCAAGGGCTCAAGTGCAGGAGGCAAGACAAACAAAAAGATCAAGAGCGGGGAATGAACTTCTGCCTCCATTTCAGCACCATTTTGGGGGGATGCTTAATGAATGCCCAGGTCTTTTGGCCTTTGCTTCAGTTTGTCCCCATCACTCACTTTGTGTCATCAGTTAAAATAGGTGATGGGTGCGGGGTGTGGTGGCGCACGCCTTTAATCCCAGCACTCAGGAGGCAGAGGCAGGCGGATCTCTGTGAGTTCAAGGCCAGCCTGGTCTACATAGCGAGTTCCAGGACAGCTGGGGCTACAGGGAGACCCTGTCTCAAAAAGACCAAAAAAAAAAAAAAAAAAAGGCGATGGGCAGCCCAGGAGTCAAGCACATCACTGACAATTCCTCTAAGGGATACACACACACACACACACAACCTCCTACCAGAATCTCAGTGTCCCTGGTGGCAAAGCCACTTACCCACAATGGTGGAGAATCTCCGGGTGGGCTCCTTCCCAGTCACTAGCTTGTACAGTTCTGGGTAGTAAAATTCAAGGCTCTCCAGGAAGACCACATAGCCCCTTTGCCCCTTGGTGTGCAGAATGTCCAACAATCGGCCTGGGAGGAAAGGTCAGATCAATCCATGAAAGCATGTCTGATTGAGTGCAAGTCTCCCTGTCATCTTAACTTTGTAATCCTCAACAGCTCAAAGAAGAAACCTTACCTCATTTCTCTCTCTCTCTCTCTCTCTCTCTCTCTCTCTCTCTCTCTCCAGGGTGTGTGTACATGGTGTAGGAGCAAGTGCTCATGTGTGTGCCTGTTCCAGAGGCCAGAGGACAATCTTGGGTGTTGCCTTCAGGCACCATCCATCTTTTTTCAAATCTCATTTTTATTTGTGTCTCTGTATGTGCGTGCATGTTTGTGTGGGTATGCATGTGTCACAGTGTGTGTGTGTGTGTGTGTGTGTGTGTGTGTGAGAGAGAGAGAGAGAGAGAGAGAGAGAGAGAGAGAGAGAGAGAAGATGTTGATCCTCACCTTGCACCTTGTTTAAGACAGGTTCTCTTGTTTGACAATGAGTTTGCCTGTCAGAGTCTAGGGACTCTCCTGTCTGTCTCTGCCTCCCATCTCCCTGTAGTGCTGGGATTACAGATGTGTGCTACTGCATCTGGCCTTATGTGGGTTCTGGGGACCTGAACGCTGGTCCTCATGCTTGTGCATCAAGCACTTTACCTACTGAGCAATGTCTCTGAGTCACACTTTTAGATATTTTTTTGTTTTATAGTTTTGTACATATATAGAGTGTTTTGATCAAATCCACTCTCATGCCCCCTCTCCAAGTCCTCTCTCTACCCTCCACCTCTTTTCCCTGCCAGTTTCTTGTGCTCTTCTTTTTAAACCATGAGTACACTTAGTGCTGCCTGTGTGCACATGGGTGTGGGATCATCGACTGTGGCATGGGTAGCCTCTCAGATGCTGCATCCTTGAGGAAAACTGACTCTCCCTTCTCCAGCAGTCATCAGTTGGCAATAGCTCCTTGGTGAGGGGTAGGACTTCATGAACCCCCTCCCCATCCAGGCTGGGATTTGGGCTAGCTTGGTCTTATGCAAGTCTTATGCTGTCCCAGTTACTGTGAGTTAATGTGTGCAATGGCCTTGCCATGTATTGCAAATACTGTTTTGCTGGCAATGTCCAATACCTCTGGCTCTTAAAGTCTTTCTCCCTCTCTTCTGAGATGATCCCTGAACCTCATGGCAAGGGAGTGCGATATATATGTCCCATTTAGAGACTTTTAAATGATGTTACCCTACAACGTGGGGGGGGGGGCAATACCTCCCTTTTTTAAGTACAGGGCCTTTCACTTACCTAGGGCTTATCAAGTATAGTAAGGTTGTCTGTTCAGTGAGCCCCAGCGATCTGCCTGTCTCTGCCTCCCCTGTACTGGGATTACAAATGTGGGATACTATGCCCAATGTCTCACCACATTCTATCATTCCTGAGTTATAGCAAAGGGTTCAGATAATTAGAATCAAAGTGCCATGGCCTCAGCAGGAATTCAGTGAGGGTTCATTGCTGTAATAAATAGATACAACTGGGATAGATGGCATTATAACCACAGGGAACCAGAAACCACCAGTTTGAAAGGGTTTCCCAGTTGCCTAGAGCTAAAATAAACCATTCAAGGTCTGGAGATGTAGTTCACTGGCAGAGCCTAACATGTGCAATCCTGCATTTGATCTATAGGCACCACATAAAACAAAAACAAAACCCCACCAAACCAAGCCAAAACTAACCATGTAATCACACAAACTAACCATGTAATCACACAGGTACCAGGTCTTCCATGATTGGAGAAGGTTGGGAGTTTATGGGATATAAATGCCTGGCTCTCTGGGATTCACAGTAGGAAGACAAATATTTGAGTGTTGTTATTCGCATGTCAAATGTCTCCCACAGGATCTCACATGTTTGACGTTTGATTCCCAGCTGGTGATGTTATTTTGAAAGGTTGTGGAACCTTTATGAGGTGGAGCTTTGCTGGAGGAAGCAGGTCACTAGGGGCAGACCTTAAGGTGTTATAGGCCAGCCCTACTTCCTGTTCATGCTGTGCTTCCTGCCTGAGGATGCCATGTGACCAGTAGCCTTCCTCTCCTGCTGCCGTGCCATCCCTGTCATGATGGACTGAGCCAGGAAACTCATAGGAATGGGGCACAGATGTTTTTCTTTGGGAATACTATGCAGTCTGGAAACATCTTCACATATAATCTGCCCAGTGGTTTCTAGCATCTGGATTCTTTTTGTTCTCCCAAAGGTTCAGTTTTGAAAGCCTGGTGCATAGTACTAGTAGAACTATTTCATGGTGGAACCTTTAAGAGATGTGGCCCAGTGGGAGATCCTAGGGTTATTTAGGGATGTGTCCTTTGAAAGGACCCCAGTGTCCCTCTGGTATCCTGGCAATATGATCTTTTCCACACCCACATGCCCCTGGTATAATATGATACAAACAAGATCTTTCACCAGATCTGAAGCAAAACTGAGCTAAATAAACTTTTATTCTTTATAGAATCCTACCTCAGCTTTTTGTTACAACCAAGACAAGAGCCAAGACACCACTAATTTCTCTTATGGTTTATATTTCTTGGTCTTTAAACATTTTCAGATATTTCTTCCTTCGAGGTTCCTAAACCTCTACGTTTTCCCTAGGACAGAAAGGATCAATTTCATTGTATGTCAATCTTGTTTGGTTGAAGCTTCCTACAGCATTGTGTCAAAAATGATTCCAAAGTTACATCTGAGGTCAGTGAGAAAACCTGCTAGCTTAATCAAGGTGTCTTTCATGGATGCAAGAGACAAAGTCACGTATCATCAGCCACACTGTGGGGCAGGGATTTCCAAACCTTTTCAGCTGTGTTCTACACAAAGAAACACATTGTATAGTGCAGTCCGGTGCCCAGCACAGATATGAGTACCCAAACATGGACATGTGAAAACGTACAGAACTGAGTTGATGTTACAACCGTCGGACAGTACGAACCTTGCCAGGGTTAGCTTCGGTTGTCAGCCTGACACACCTGGGAGAAGGGAGCCTCAGTTGTGCAATTTCCTCTATTGGAATGACCTATGGGTAAGTCTCTGAGGTAGTTTCTTAAATGTTGAGTGATGTAGGAGGGCCCAGGCCACGGTGGGTGGTGCCACTATGGTCCTGGGTTGTATGAGAGCTGGTTGAGCACAGGCCAGAGGAGCAAGCCAGTAAGCAGCATTCCTCTGGGGTCTCTTCTTCACTTCCTGCCTCTAGGTTCCTGCTTGAGCTCCTGCCCTGGCTTCCCTAGATGATGGACTGTGAGCTGTAAGCTAAAACAAACCTGTTCCTTGCCAAGTTGCTTTTTGGTCATGGTGTTTATCATAGCAACAGGAAACCTTACTCATACAGACCTCTCCTCAGATTCATGTTATATCTTTTTATGATGCTGGGAATGGAAACCAGGGTCTTGTGCATACTAGGCAAGTGCTCTACCACTGAGCCAAACCCTCATCCTTTCCCTGGGGAATGCGCTCCCAGACCCTCATTGAGGGATTCTGGGAAGGTACTCTACCACTGAGCTACATCTCCAGTCCCTCACCAGAGGATCCCATGAAAGTGTTCTACCACTGAGCCATGCCCTCAGACTCTCCCTGGAAGATTCTAGGTAAGCGCTCTTCCACTGAGCTGTATCTCCCTTCAAAATAAGATTTATAAATATTAAATATACTAGGTTACATAGGAAACCAATCATAACAAAATACAGTTAACAAATATTAAACAAATTGTGATTTGGAAATAAGTGCAGTTCTTTACTGATGTGTTAAATAACAAGTTCTCTTGATAGGTCTAATGACTGCTATAATTTTAGGAAGAGATAAGTGAAAATGGCATTTTAACAGGTGTTCGGAGCTGTAATGTGATATGGGGCTATCTGCTGCTTTTATTGTTGACAAAGTTGCAGGTAACGCTCACCAGTGGTTTGACTGTTGCCTGCTGACATTCATAATTGAAGGCAATGCTAAATTCCAGTGCAGGTTTGTAAAATCAAGATGTGATCCCCTCCCCTCCAAGTTATGGATTCTGAATTCTACATACAGAAAGTGTAGACAGGGTGGGCATTGGTTAGGTAGCTGTTTCCTTCAGATGGAACATTACAACCTAGAGGGTGGTGCAGGGCCACTGACCCAAGAAACTGTCAAGGCTCAGGGGCAAGCTGAAACCTAGCTGACTCCCAAGGTCCCTCCCTGAAGTTACATGTGCAGTTAAAATTGCAGGGGAAAATATTTCCATTGGTGTAGCTGAGGGCAAATTACTGGAGAGCTCCAGGGAGGCAGATTGCTTGAGTGGTCACCCAGGTTGGGGTAGAACTTCTGTAATGCAGTTGCCAGATGCAGCATGCTCCTGTGAGGAACCCCTTCCCCACACTCCTGTGAGCAACCCTAATAAACTCATTGGTTCCTTGAGCTGGATTTGGGTGTAATGAATGATTTCTTTGGTCTGTTATTGGTGCCTAACTGTGGTGAAAAGACAGACATTTGCTCAAGCCCCACCAGGAAAAGTCACACCTATGTTCCCCTCCCAGCCGCCCCCCCCCCGCCTGCAAATTCTGACCTAGAGAAGCCCAGTGTTGGTCCCGCTAACCGGAAGGGAAGGCACGCTCTGGAGTGGCCATGTGCGGTCCACCCATTCTCATGCCCAGGGCTCCCGAGGTTACCTGCCCTGTTGATCTTGGAAGGCAGCATGGGTGCATTGAGAACCTCATCTTCATCCTGCTCATCAATGACCTTGCACTGGCGCAGGTAGGGGGTGAGCTTGGCGGGGTTGATGTAGCGGCTCAACATGTGCCGGTTGCACTCCACGTTCTCCCACAGGGCATCTTCTTCATCCTTCAGCGTCTCCATGTAGTCGTCCATAGTCGGCCCTCCTGCTGTGAGGTACAAACCCCAACAAGGTTAATAAGGGAGCCTGCATGGAACAGCTCTGTAAACTCCAGAGTGATGATTAGAATGTATCCCTAAACTAAAAATAACATGGTAGACAGAAGCAGAGGGCAGTCTACCTTTTATCTGAGAATGAAGAGGGTAGGAACAAATGTAAGTACAGATAAATATTTCCTTACACACTAAACATAAAACAATGGAAAGATGTCATAACATTTTGAATGGTGGCTTATAGGGAGGGAGGAAAAGTCCTGTCATTGATGGAGACTCCATCCAGATTAAAAGAAATTTAGAATATTTTATTTATTATTTTTATTTTATATGTATGAGTGTATTGACTGCATGTATGTAAGTGCACCTGTGTTGTGCAATGCCCACAGAGGTCAGAAGAGGGTCTGGATCCTCTGGAATTGGAGTTATGGAATGGTTGTTAGTCACTATGTGGGTGCTTGGAATTGAACCTGGGTCTTCTGCAAGAGTGGTCAGTACTCAACTGTTGAGCCGTCTCTCCAGACCCTCCATTCAGGTTTTGTCTTACTAAGAATATACCTTTTTCACAGACATATTGTTGGTTTTTGTTTTAAAATTCCACAGAAATGGTACCATGCTGTCTGTCTCCCTTCCCATCTTGCTTTTATTCCCTCTACTCATTGTATGAGGTTTGTCTACATGGGCACATATAGATCTAATTCATTAGATGAATTAATTATTTAGTTAGTAGTTTTACTGAGATGAAATTCACACACCATGCCAACTTGAAGTGTGCAATTTAATGACTTTTAGAAAATATTTATTTTTTTTATGTGTATGTGTGTGTGCCTATGTGAATTTATGTGTACCACATGTGTGCAGGTGGCCACAGAGGCCAGAAGAGGGCATCAGGTCCCCTGGAAATGGAGTTACAGATGGCTGTGAACTGCTGATTTTCATACTTGGAATTCAACCCACATCCTCTTCAAGAGCAGTAAGCACTTTTAATGTTGAGCCAGCTCTCCAGCCCAAATGACTTTTAAATATACTTTGAGGTTGTTTGCTTTGAAATGGCAAAACTAGCTCCATTTTGTTCTAGCTGACTTTTGCTTTACTGGCATTTTTGCCCAGTCATTCCCACTTCAGCCAGGCAGGCAGAATGTCTCATGCAGGCAGTTTCAGGGAGTACATTGTTTCTATAATATTGGGAAACTTACAATTACCCAGGCAGCATGTCCAGGTAGCACATCCTCCCACCCAGCTTAACTGAAACTTATTGTTCACTGAAAACTTCTTTGCTAACTGACCTGCCCTGGTCTGGTGTAACTATGGTGATCTGATGTAGCTTTGGTTATTGGCTCTGCCCCTGGCATGATGTAATTATGGTTTTAAGCTTTATAAACCCTGTCCTGCTTCTCCTTGGTGTTGAGGCCCTTTTGAGCATTAGTTGCTTCTCTGATGGCTGGCTATTAGTAAAGGACTCCTAATTCGACCATCACTATGTGATGTTCCTCTGTGCATCTTGCTCAGTATTATAGCTTATCCCCATAGTCTAATATTTTTAGAGAACTTTTGCCTTCTCTAAAAGAAACCTCATAAAAACTTTAATTTTTTTATGTGCATGAGTGTTTTGCCTGCATGTATGTAAGTGTGCACATGTCATGCAATGCCCTCCTTCCCTCTCCCCTTTCTTCCCTCCTCTCTCCCTTCCTTCTTCTCTTCCTTTCAGAACAGCTTTCCTTATTGAGATATAATTCATGTGTCACACAATTCATCTTTTTAATGTGTACAGTTCAATTGTGCAACTGTCAGTACAATCAATTCTAAAAGATTGTCATCATTTCAAAAAGAAACCCAACCATTCATTTCCCTGAAACATCTATGTCTCCAGCTTCTGATAACAGCTAATCTACTTTCTGTTTCTACAGTGTCCTGGTGTCATGGTTAGCTTCACTTTCCAACTTGATACATCTGGGAAGAAGGGACCTCAATTGAGGAATTGTCTCTATTGGATTGGCCTGTGGGCATGTCTGTGAGGCAGTTTCTTGAATGCTGCATGATGTGAGAGGGCCCAGACTGTGGCAGATGCCACCCCTGGGCAGGTGGTCCTGGGTGTTATAAGAAAGTAGGCTGAGCATAGGCCAGAGGAGCAAGCCAGTAAGCAGCTCTCTGGGGTCTCTTCTTCAGTTCCTTCCTCCATGTTCCTGCCTGATTTCCCTCAGTGATGGACTGTCACTTGGAAGTGCTAGATGCTGTAAACCCTTTTCTCCCCAAGTTGTTTTGGTCAGAGTGTTTCATCACAGTAATAGAGAAGCAAACTAAAACACCTAGTCTTGTTTCTGTGGCTGTGTTAAATTACCCCTAGACAAAATATCTTGAGGAGAGGGTTAATCTGTCTTACAGTTCCAGGTTATGATCCATTGTTGAGGGGAAGAAAAGGCAGGAACTTCAGAGCTAGTCACATCTGCAGCCAAGAGTGGAGAGAAATGAATGCATGTGTTCTCAGTGCTCAGCTTGCTTCCTGCACTCTTGTGCAGCTGAAAACCCAAACCGAGGGAGTGCTGCTGCCTGCAATGGGCTGGGTCTTCCCACATCCATTAATGTAATGAAGACAGACCCCCACAGGTAAACCTGATCTAGACAGTCTTCCCAGGTGATTCTAGATTGTGTCAGGTTGATAATTAAAACTAACCATCATACATGAATTTGCTTTTTCTGAACATTCTAAATCAATGAATCATGCAATTTACAGTCTTTTGTGACTGGCTTCTTTCACTTAGCACAGTGTTTTCGAGGTTCCCTCATGTGTTGGTTTCAATAAGAAATGACCCCCATAGGCTCATGTATTTGAATACTGGGACCCAGTTGGTGGCACTGTTTGTGAAAGTTTAAGAGGTGTGAACTTGCTGGAGGAGGCATGTCCCTGGGGGCAGGCTTTGAGAGTTTATAGCCTTCACCCAATTCCAGCTTGTTCCATTTGCTTCCTGCTTTCTGTCAGAGAAGGGGAGCTTTCAGCTTTTGGCCCCTGCCACCATGCCTGCCTGCTGCCGTGCCTCCCTACCACAATGGACTCTTAACTTCTGGAACCATAAGCCCAAATAAACTTTTCCTTCTGTAAGTTGCCTTAGTCATGCTGTTTTATCACAGCAATAGAAAAGTAACTAATACACTCCATGTCACAGAGTGTGTTAGCATTTCCTTTAAAACCTGTGAAATAAGGCTGTGGAGATGGCTTGCTTGGTAAAGTGCTTGTTGCACAGTCATGAAGACCTGAGCTTGATTCCCAGAACCCACATAGAAAACTGGACATAGTGTTGCACAACTCTAATTACAGCATTGGGGAGGCAGATTCAGGAAGGTTCTGGGGGCTTGCTGGCTGGTCAGCCTAGCCTACTTGGTGAGATACCCTGTCTCAAAAAAACAAGGTGGACCTCTCCTGAGGAACAACACCTGTGGTTGACTCTGGCCTACAAACACGTGCACACGCACACACACACACACACACACACACACACACACACAACCACTGTTTATAATTGTTCATTGTGTAGGTATCACACATTTAGCTTAGCTCTTGATCCACAGAAAGACATTGGAGTTATTTCTACTTCTTTTGAGTATTTTAATGAACAATGCTGCTCTGAACATTCATGAATATGTTTTTGTGTGAATATATGTTTTTATTTCCATTGAGTAGATAAACAGAACTGGAAGGTCTAGGCTATGTGAAAACTATGTTCACCATTTTTTTTTTTCTGTGTGTATGAGTGTATGCTGCATGTGTGTGGTGTATGCACACATGTATGTGGGTGCATACACCCATGCTCATATGCAGAGGCCAGAGGAGGACATCAGGTGTCCTGCTTTATCACTCCCTGCCTTCTTCCCTTGAGACAGGGTCTTTCACTGACCCTGGAGCTAAGCTGGTAGCCAGCAAGCCCCAGCAATCCTGCTGTCTCCATCACCAACAACACAGCCACATGTGGCTTTTTACATGAGTGCTGGAGATCTGAACTCAAGTCTTTGTGCTTGCACAGCAAGTGCTCTTACCCTTTGAACCATCTTCTTATCCCAAGAAACTGTGTTTGACATTTCAAGGAACTGCCGAAGTGTACTGCAAAGCGTGTTATTTCACGTTGCCATTAGTCCTGTCTGAGGCTTCTGCTTCCTCCATGTCCTGGCTAATACTGGCTCTCACCATCTTTTCTGATGTGGCCGTGCTCCTGGTTGTGAACTGGTATCTATCTCAGGGTGGATTTGATTTTCCTAATGACTAATGGTGTTAAGCATCTTTTCATGTGCACATTGGCCATTTGTGTAGAGAAACTGCTATACAAATCCTTTGCCCATAGTAAACTTAGATTGCTTGTCTTTTCACTGTGGAGTTGTGGGAGTTCTCCATGTGTTCTGGATACAGGACTACATAATCAGATATATGACTTGCAAATATTTTCTCCTTTTCCATCAATTATCTTTTCACTGTCTCAAAGACGATATTTGTAGCATAAATTTTAAGGAGTTGGAGAGATGACTCAGAGGTTAAGAGCACTTGCTGCTCTTGCAGAGGACCCAAATTCGGTTTCCAGCACCTCCATGGTGGCTAACCATCTGTAACTCCACTTCCAGGGGATCTGATGCCCTCTTCTGACCTCCATGGGTACTGCACGCATGTGATACACATACATGCAAATACACATAAAATAAAAATAAATCTTTAAAATTAAATTCTTTTAAAATTATATATTTATTTATTTTGTGTGCATGTGTGTATGTATGTAGGTATGTGCATGCCAGGGCACACATGTGGAGCTCAGAGGACAACGTGTGGGAGCCATCTCTCTCCTTCTGCAATGTGGGTTCCAGGAATGGAACTTAGATTGACAGGCTTGGCAGCAAGCACCTTTACTTGTTTAGCCATCTTGTTGGCCCATAAGTTTTAAATTCTGATATAGTCCAATTAAAAAAAAATTTATTTGTGCTTTTGGATGCATAAAAAGTCATTGTCTAATACCAAAGT